AAACTGATGATGGTGGAAAAATACACCGAAACGTATTTTAATTGATAAATAAAGACAATAAATGACTGAAACCCAGGAATTAATTTTGATTTGGAGTTAACGGGAATCAAAGGAAAAGTTGGAGGCAGTGAAAGACACAAGAAGCACCCAGAATACATATAAAAATGCTTACTTCTGCGGTTGGTGAAATTCAGCCGGAAAAACCAGCAATTCCTGATTGGTTCCATGCGCAAATCCAGCTGCATACACTGCCGTATCCAGGCTGGTGGTCAACGGTTTGCTCCAGATCGTTCGGGAAAGGGCCAGCACAAAAATCACCTGGAACGATAGTCGTTTTTTCGCCAAAGTAAACACTTGAAAAAATCTTACCAGCAAATTACGCTGCATCTTCGAGATGACCGGCCGATCGTCTTGGGCGCTCTGAAGCGGTTTCAGTGCGTTTCGGGGTCAATCACCAGTTCGCAACCAACCGGATGGGCTCAATCGGAAAAACTGGTTCAGATTTTTTTCGTTCGCATCGATCCTCGATCGTGTTTCGTGTTAATTAACGCATACCAAATAACGTTGCAGATGGCGCCGATTCAAGCAAGGAGAAAAGCAGGCCGGGAATTCTGGCCCTGGACACTTCATACGGCATGGAAATCGCCCAACTGCTGCTGTCCCTGCTGCACTCCTGGGGTCTGGACGACGACCTGGACAGGGTGTGCCAAGTGAAGCTGGGCCTGCTCAGACCGATGGTAATTTCCCGATTTATCCACCCATCAGACTTTAATGCCCGGTTTCCCGAACTCCAACATATCGGTTACATAAGCTTATGAGTCTCATAAACTACCAAAATCACGTCTGTTGGCTTTCTCAACGTCTGTTTAAAGCTTATTGGTTCCATAAGTTATCGAATAGATATCTACTCGAAGATGGATGGATATCGGCTTCATAACCTCTGACGCAAGCGTGTAGGGTTTGTTCTCATTTTTACAACAGAGCCATTCTAACCTAACATAGCCTATTCTTATTACATAACAGCATTGCATAACAGTTTTGTTTTGTTTAACGCATACAAATTTATTGTCATTAGTTAAAATGGATAATTCGAGTTCATCTTCTGATGGTGAAATTATTGAACTTCTAAGTTATATTGAGCGGCCAAGACGGTATCTTGAACGAGAGGACCAAATGAACAAATGACTACCTTAAAACATGTACTGTGAGAAGGAATTAATTGCCCGTTAGTGAACAGCTATGCTGAATTCAGATAAAAACCCGAGAGCTTTTACAGCAGGTCTGTGGCTGTTGCGTTTTTTTTGTGGCGTCATCTAGCTTGCGATGCACAAAAGTGAAAGTTCTTTACTATCCGCTTCTTTTTTACCGGTATTTCGCACCTTCCGTACTACCAGTCAAAAATGGAACATACCCTATCAAGCAGTTCCCTCTGTCGGTCGAATTAAAAAGGTACTTATCCAACGGATTGTTATGAGCTCGATATAACTTTGTCTGTCAATGGTCTGTCACCGCTCGGAAACCCATAAAATCTTATCGGTGTTATAACGTTATCCACTACATAGTTATGGAACCAATAAGGGCAAATGTTGAGAAACCGGGCATAAATGAACCAATCAACTAGGTGCCGCTGTCCTTCGGTGTTCTGTCCAAGGCCAATCACATGTCGCTGTTTCTGCCCACGTGGCACAACACCATTCCGCTGGATGAGGACCCCAGCGCCGACCACCAGGACCTGGAGATCAGCTTACCTCCGGAATTGGTCAGACGGGAGAAGCTCACCAGGATTTTCACCAGCCGGTGAGTGGAACCGTGGAGGTTTTTGTCAATTTCGGCAACTGTTCAATGCAGGACGCACTGGGAGCTGAGCACCACGCTGACCAGCAATCATCTGTTGGCTGTGATCGCCCTCAGTCACACCCTGATGAGCATGAGCAGCGCCACGTTTGTGCCCGAACAGGAGAGGAACAGGAAATTGCACAGGTAAGCCATTGGCGTGCGAGGCAACCATTCAGCCAATCAGCGGATTGTTCTTGAAGGCAGTCGCGGGTGAGTTGGAGCAAAACGGACGAGGAACAGGAGGAGATGTACACGCAACAGCAGGCGCAAATCAAGCAGGGCTGGTCGCTGTTGGCCACCTTGCACTGCGTTCTCCTGCCCGATAAGGTACTGCCAGTTGCGTGGCCGATTCCGGTTAATTGGGGCCGATTTTGCAACTTTGCAGGTCATTGAACATGGCGCGAAGCACTTCAAGCGTCCGCAGGTCGAGATGATGGCCAAGCGGTGGCAGCATCACTGCGTGGAAGTTCGGGAAGCCGCCCAGACTCTTCTGCTAGCCGAATTGTCCCGGTAAATACTGAACGATTGGCGTGAATTCTTATGTTGTTCTTTATTGTGAAAGAAGAACAGGAGCGGAAACTGCATAATTTTCTTGTTGCATCCAGAATGGGTCCTAAAGGACGCAAGCAACTGGTGGACGCCTGGGCCCAATACCTGCCTTTGTACACGCAAACCGAAACGATCAATCAGCAGGCAATGTCGTCGCCCAACGTGCAAAATCACGTGAATTCCCACAGCAATGTGCCGAGCACGCCGGATCCCGGGGTGAGTTGAACAATTTGCGGGCAAACATCAGTTGGTGAGCTGGTTGTGTTGGTGCAGGACGAGGAGTTCGAGGAGGAGGAGGAGGAGCAGGTGCGCAAACCGTCCAGCCTCACTGAACTGAAGCGCAAACAGTCGACGGCTGTTATACTGTTGGGCGTGATTGGGGCCGAGTTCGGCCAGGACATTATCCATACCGATAATGCCAAGAAGAGGACGAGCGACGATCGCAGGAAGAGCTCGGTGGTCGAAGGTTTCGGTATGTCTGCCCTTATTATGGGTTATTGAAGGAATTACGTGGGAGAGTTATAGATAAGTTCTACAGGGTTATTCACGCTATACGGCCCGGACGTTTGCGGCCAGCCCGTTTGTTAGTAGTATTTGATGTAGTATTTACTGTTGGCAACAAGAAAACGCCCGATCTCTCGCAAGATAGGACAAGAGGCTTCAAATGCGTATCTTCAAACTAATTCTCCCTTATAGCTCCTTCAAGAAGCTTTAATAAGGGCACCCTGAGGAAGAAATCTTGGTAGCTTCGGAAACTTTGGACTCAGATGTTCCTCGTTTTGTAGGTTCAGGCAACAATAATTTGGCGCGTTTGACCGCGATGGCTCTTTCGCATCTGCTGCTGGCGCCGCCTTCGCCTCGAATACCCGCCCACATACCATTGCGAAGGGCGGCCATCGATCTCATCGGACGCGGCTTCACCGTGTGGGAACCTTTCCTGGACACCAGCAAGGTTCTACTTGGTAAGACTCCACTCTTGTAAGGGCGCCCATCGAAACGCTTCTAATAGATGTTGCCTGTTCTCTTGTGGGACCGATTTAAAACTCATTCAGGCCCTTATCAGGACTGTACACATACATCCAGAGAAATTCATTTAGCAACACCACAAAAATGCGAATTTACATGGTTAACGGCAAGAGATAACAACCTCCTTGCTTCGCCCGCGTGTTTTTGCAACAGGCAGAATCTATTAAGTATCGGGGGCGCTGCAGCCCAATGGGCACATTCCAAGATAAAGCTGTTTCAGGCCTGTTGGAGTTGTGCTCAGAAGCGGACAAACTGGTGCCCAGCATGACCTACGGGCTGCCGCTGACGCCTCAGGCGGACTCCTGCCGCACCGCCCGGCATGCGCTAACGCTCATTGCGACTGCCCGGTAAGTCCTCTAAACTGCTGCGCTCTGCGAGTGGCTGATCATCGGTTTCCCATCAGGCCCAAGGCCTTCATCACCACGATGGCCAAAGAGGTGGCGCGCTACAACGCCATGCAGCAGAACGCGCAAACGCTCAACATCAACATGAGCAACAATGTGCTGCACAAGGCCAAGCCCGAAATCCTGCGAGGCGTCGAGCTGCTGATCGAGAAGATGCAAACGGAAATGAGCGACCATCTGGTTCAGGTGAGTGCAGTTGGAGCTTGAGGGAATCGGGTCGGGTGAATGAGAAATGTGGTCATGCAGCTGATGGACATCATCCTGCACTGTTTGGATCCGAGCCAGTTGAAGAACAAGGGGCTGCAGGACGTATTTCCGGCGGTATGCAAGTTCAACCAGGTGTCGCATTGTCCGGCTACCAGGCGGATCGCAGGTGAGGAAGGATGGTTAAGCGTTGCAGTCGGCAGCTTGAGAACGGGGGATTGTTGCAGTTGGTTCGCACACGGGGTCGCTCACCATCTACGAGCTGCGCCAGGGGAAGAACACGACCATTGCAGCGCATTCTGAGGCAGTGACGGCTTGCGCTTTCAGTCCAGACGGAAAATTCCTAGTCAGCTACGCCTGCTCAGAAAACCGGCTCAGCTTCTGGCAAACCAGCACTGGTAAGCCTTGTTCGCACTACACCACTTCTTTGATTCGGGGTGTCTTTAAAGGATGGGAATCTTTGCAGGCATGTTCGGACTGGGCCAATCACAAACGAAGAACGTCAAGTCGTACAGTACCGCCCCCATTGCCGACGTGGCCCGACTGAACCCGATGCGACTCGCTCGGCTCATTTGGATCAACAATCGTACCGTCACTCTGATGCTGGCCGACGGCTCCGAAACGCGATTCAACGTCTAAATGGTGAGTCGCCCGTTCCGTTCAGTTTCCTCGAATGCAACCTCGTGTGGTTTTTCAGTTCGAATCAATCGCGCATCGCTTACAAGTGCGACAATAATTTTGCAAATGACCGATCGAATTTCTGCAAAGACATTGTTGAGTAGGTTTCGGTTGGAGCCCATCTGTCGGACACAGGGTGGGAGAAAGTGTTTGTTTGGGGCACTTAAGTTCATGCTTTTGATACGTTCCCACCCTGTACGAGATAAGGAAATGATCAGTATTAGAAAGAGTCCACTCTTAACACCCTAAGCAAGCGAAACTCATTGAACAAATGCCGATGAGCTGATTTTTTGCATTGACTAGACAAAGCCGTGCCTCAGGAATTTAACAAACCCATACCCAAACCAGGCCTTCAGCGTGACTTGCAATCAAAACGCGACTATTTTTGTGCAAAAGAGGCATTTGCCCGATTAAACCACTGTATGTATCCACGTTGATGCTCCCAAACTTATATAACAGCCTTATGTATATATACTCAAAGCCCATAACAAAGCTATATTAGAGGCTTTTACATGGCCAACCTTAGAGCCTTTGCTTACTTCAAATTGTTATTAATAAATGTAGTTGAGGTTCCAAATCGATTAAGCCGGTTGCGTGCGTGTGCGTTGGTGTGGGGAACTGAAGACTTGCGGCCAGATTCACACAAGTACAAAGAATCTGGCGGCAAACCTCCACAAGGCCTCAATTGGCCGATCTTCTGGTGATGTTGTTATTATTTTTATACCGGACTGTGTTTCCTGTTAAGCCAAAGTATTGTTTATGATTGTGTCAGAGAACAGGGGGGCCACGTGTTCTAGCTAAACACCCTGTGCATGAAGCTTCTGCCGAAAGCACATTTACAGGGTGTTGCAAAAGATTCGATTTGGGCTTAGTGGCGGCCCCCCCTTGTCCACCAAGTAAGATAACGTGCATTTTCTGGCTCTTTTGAGCCGCCTAGTTAATCGTCGGTGTATATAGTCGTTATATATTATTTATTTCTGTTGTAGATGTCTAATTATTAGTAATTTGTCCCTGCCCCACACAATTGGATGTGCGTTTAGTGCGTTTTCGGGTTTTGATGTTCGTGACTCTTGTTCTCCATATTTCCACTTCTCAATGTCACACAACTAAGTTCCCTATTGCGCCTTTAGATAAATAAATAAATTGATAAATAACTTATTGGCAGCACTGTTCCATTGTTCGGGCCGACTAGCCGATAGTCTGCAGGGATAATGGATTTTGCACCAATGCTACCCATAATTAATCGAAACACAAAGTGTCTAACAAAGGTCCATTTAAGAGCGATTATTATTGTTTGTAAATAATAAAGACATTTTATCGATACGCAGAGGGCCCAGTTTCAGTCTGTCACACCATTTCAGCTGTTGTATTAGAACTATATATCTGTGTTATGTATATAATGTTACGATGACCTATCTATATACAAAGTTTGGCAATATGTATATGTGTCGAGTCTAGTTAAAAATATTACAAATTTATGGCAAACAAACGTACAGTTGTGCACTGACCTGCAAGTCCTAGTTCCACTCCTTTAAGTGTACTTATTTCAAAATTCGAAGAAACTTCCACCACTCAGTATAGATCAACATGAACCCTCAACAGTTTCCTTAGGCTTGGCCTTGGAGGCTGAAATCATCTCCTGTGAGTTGAAACACCTTGACTCACCAGTCGCTCTCACTCACCAGTTGAGTGCTTTGCAGCTTGTGCAAAGTGGCAATTGGGGTTAGAGTGGGCCTTCCGTGGGCGCACTGAAAGGGCAGTTGGCACCTTTCCAAGTCCCTCAATAATGCGCCACATTGGCTTCGCGACAGCGTGTCACCGAACTTAATTGCGCCTAAAATTCCCCCATCAAACAGGAGAGCAAAGTGTGTCTTCTGTTACCTCTGCAAGCCTTCAGGTTGACAACGTCCTGAATAATCTTCGGCATTGACATGCCAGTGGACCCTCTGGTCGTCCTCAGAAAGTCCACAGCCTCCTTGAGGAGGGAGTTTAGGAGATTGTTCAGGCCTTCCATCTGGAATTTTTTCTGTTATCTGTGTGTGATTTTTTAGGGCTTGCCTGAGGGACTTGCTTGCGCGGCGCATTTCTCCTGGATGCACACGGGGATGTGGGTGATGTGGAGACCGTTGGTGAAGAACTCCACCCCCAGCCCCATGGAGTCCAGGTAGTCCGAGTGTCGTTGTAACAGAGCCAGATCGTTGTGAGGCAGGAAAATGGTCAGTTTCTCCTTGTGAGTCGCCTTCAGACCTCTGTATTCTGCAATGGCCAAAAATACTGGGTTGGTTCGTCCTGGAGACGTCCGGGAAAGAGAGACCTTTCAGGAACCTCTCCACGCGAATGCGCTCGTCCACCGCATGCTGATCAAATAACACCAGCAAGTTTTCCGATGTTTCATGCACCACCAGGAACTTTTGGTCCAGCTGCCCAACGACTTCGAGGCTTTCGAACATGCCCCTGCTGAAACTCACTTTGTTTCTTTGGGCCTTCATGCTGGCCACCCGTGGGATGCATTCCTCGTGCCGTTTGCACTTTTCCTTGTAGATTTCCTCAAAAAATGCTCGCTGATCTGGAAAGGATTGATAATTTTGAAGAGTGTTTAGTCGCATCTCTAAACCATTACCTTTGTGAGGACAGTTGCGCCACTTGACGCTCATCAGCTCATTCTCGTATCCTTCCAGGATCAGAGAGTGGAGCTTGTGTTTGGCGTTCTGGCTCAGCACGCGATCGACTTCTTTATGCCGGTTCAGAACCGGCGACATTCCTTTGGGCACAAAGTCCAGTCGCTCCTCAAAAGCGAAATTCGTTGGCGTGCAAACCGGGGGCTTGGACGACACCATGCCTGCAACGTTTGGAGTTTTCTTAAAGTGGAACGATCCGTTCAATCCACTCTTACCAGTTCTGCGGTTGACGAAGAAGCTGTGGCCCTGTTTGGTGGCGCATCTCTGCCATTGGTTCTGCGAGTCCACGATGAAGCTGCTCTGCTCGTGCAAGCTGCGATCATCAACCCCCAAGGGGTGCGAGCTGGTTGGCTCTGCCCCGCCCAGTCTTTCTGATCCGTGGGGGCTGGGAGTTTTGGTTCTAGTGCGCATCAGCCCGAACTCTTCCAAGTCGCACATTTCGTTCGAATTTTCGAAAATGTCCGGCGAGCTGCTAAAGTTGAACCAGTTCTGAGCAGGGTGTTCGTTAGGGTTTCTACTCGATTTCCGGGGTGGATAAGGCGTAACATTTGCAGGCTTTTTGAATCGGATTGCATTTTTCGTGTTCAGCAGCTGCGCCACTTCCGCCGAGATGGTGGTGGAGGCTCGGGGAAATTGCGTTGGCTGGAAATATGCAGAGCTGGTTTCTGGCATGGGATTGTTTCTGGCGCTTCCAAAGTAAGGGCTTTGCGTGCAGAAGCGCCTCCAAGTGGATTTGACCGAAGGTTGCTTCTTGAGGCCCCGAAACAGCAGAGTGGCCACCTCATTGTTCTTGGTGGGCGGATTGGCATAGATTTCTTCTTTACTTTGCGCAGCTGCGGGCCACCAGTCTGGAATAAGGCGGATTAGATGGGCTTATTAGGGCTATTAGACGCCCACCTGGGTCGAGGGCTTGGAAGTTGAACATGTTGGCGGCCCCTTGCTGGCAGCGGCAAAGTCTCACCGGATTTAAAGCCGGCGGCTCATCCAGAGCAGCCTCATTGTCCTTCCTCACCAACGCATAGCGGTGGCTTTGGGCCATTATGGTGTAGTCGTCGTCTAGGTCCAGAGAGCATTGATCCAGGCGAGCCATCAGCTCGCTCTGGAAGCTCCTCGGCTGCAACTGGCTGCGCTTTTGACTGGTCTGGACCGACTTGTCCCTCATAGGCTGGTCTTTCTCAACACTCTCTTCGCCCCCAGTTCTTCTCCTTTTCACATTGACGCTGATGGTGGTGGTCACGCCCCTATCAGGGCCCTCTACGTGGTTATCTGGAACACAATTGGATTCCTCAGCGGAGCTTTGGGAGGCGTCCTGGAACACCTGAGTGGACTTGAGGAACATGTCCAGAATCAGGTTTTTGCCCCGGTTTTCGTCCGTGTTGAGTTTGGAGTAGACGGACCGCTGGTCGAAGGTTCTTTTGGGCACCAAGTTGATTTCCAGGGGCTTCAGCTCGCCCACCAGGGGCCGTGAGGCTTTGGCAGGCAGAGAGTCTTCAATGGCATAGTCGCCAGTGGTTTGCGTTACCTCATTCCGCCTCCTCTTGTAGGCGGTGGCTTGAACGGCCCCTACTAGCTGAGACACGCCACTGCTGAATCGCTTTGGCTTGGAAGCGGCTGGGGCTTCGGGAGCTTCCACGCCCAGGAAGGTTTGCAGGAGCTTGTCCAGGCAGGCCAGCACTTGGTCCCAGCAGGTGAACTCCACTTCGCTTCGGTGGGGCTCCTGCAGAATGTCCACGTATGCCTGGGGGCATTTGATGTTCATAATAAAGGCGGGGGATCTGCTGGAGTGCAGAAACCCCCTGTGAAAGTGTTTGGAGATCTTGGCGCTTTGCACGGGGCGTTTGTTCACGTAGACCAGCTGCCATTGCCTGCCAGCTTCCAGCTCCTTTTCGATTAGCAGCTCGATGGAGAGTTTGCCTTTGGAGACCTTCAGGAGGCTGAAGCTGCGCCCCACTTGGGGGTAGAGATGGTGGAAGGCGCTCACTATGTCGGAGTGCTTCGGACTGTTGAGCAGCAGCAGCCCAGTGGCGTCGTTCCGCAAGCTAAACGACGTGCCCGGGTTGATTACTATCAACCTTTCCAGCTGCTGCTTCACTTCTTCCAGCTCGAGCTCCGGCACGATGCGCTGCTGCCTCACTGGCGCGGCACTGAACCAATCGAGGACGGTCACAGTGGCGCCCACACTGGGCCTGGATTTTCCAGGTGTAACTTTACTGGATCCATCTCTGGACAGAACTTTAGTGAAGGTTTCATCGCAGTCTCTCCGGCGCGATGTGATGATTAGACTGCGCGACATTTCCGCGATGTTTGCAAGGGCTTCGCCTCGGAACCCGTAGGTTTTCAGGTGTTTTTCCAGGTCTTTGACGGTTTGGCATTTGTTGGTGGCGTATCTGGAACCCGCCAGTTCCAGGCCCTCTCTGGATATGCCACAGCCGTTATCGGCCACCTGAATGCGGAACGTTAGGAGATTTATTCGAACCGCTACCGCGGTGGATTTTGCGTCCAGACTGTTGCACACCTGGAAAGTGTTTCATTATCTAGCTTATCTATTTGTTTGATCCTGCTGCTGACTTTCTAGGTAAGTTCACCGACAGGAAAATGAAAAACATTTTTTTTCGATATTGCTAACTTACCAATTCGTAAACACATTGGGCGACACTGCTAATACCCGAGGAGCTTCGGATTTTCGAAATTACGCCCGTTTTTAACGGTTTTATGCTCATTTCTTTAGCGGTTCCTCTTGAAAATGTCAGTGTGACGGCAAAAGTTGATTAATTTGTCGTTTAAGACAACTCAGCTATGTTCGTTTTATACACGCGAATAAAGGAAGATAGACAATGTCCACGTCGACAATTGGTCAAGGAAATGATACAAGCGCGCAGGTATATGGCACGTGCTGTCACTTCTATCGATTGCGGCGATTCGAACCAATCATATAAGCCTACCGGTTTGTTATTATCGAACGTATCGATAACACTTCCTTAACCAGCCACGCGATCAGTTTCCCTGAGACAATCAAACAGAATCAAATTGAAAACTCCAGAATTTAACAGTTTAGTTTGAAAAGTTAGTTTAAAAGTTGAAAACTTTCACATTATATTATAACCATTTAGTATAAAATAGACAGTAATGCTCAGATGATCTTCACTACTTTTTCCATTCTCACTCACCATAATTCCAATTAACCGATTAAGATCTCACACGCGTTCATAGATATCCATAGAGAAACCAAAAACTTACTTTTTCAGTTTGATTGATATTTTCTACTTTGGTGGCAGTCCGGCAACATGGCTGAACAGTATCGAATTTTCGGCGCACGTACGGTGGAATGTTTATGGCTCCAAAACTCGGAACATTTTAAGAAGCTAACACCACCTTTATTGCACATCTGACAACTCTGCCTCCTTTACACTTACTGCTCCTAGTGGGCAAAATAAATTCGTTTTTCTTACTTTTCATTTTCAACCTCAAAACCCGTTGCAAAGCATTTTGTAATAATAACGACGATTTATAAAAAATAATGGAGTGACTAAGAGTAAATAAGCTATATTTAATCGCATTCATCAGACAGGAAAATAGCAGGGCACGCCCAAACTCGAAATCCACCTTGTGCTAGGCCTGGCAGCACTGCAGTGAGAACCACTTGACGTCACGTAAATCGACGCAATATCCTACCTCGTTTCCTTACCTTGTATATGTTCTTGTCTTTGTCTATGCCTTGTATTCACTGTATCATGCATCTTTATCTATGTGCACGAGTTCAGCAGAGATAAATTGACAAGTTCAGACATTTTGTCCCTGGTGTTTCGTTCATTTTTATTTGGCTGGCTTCACTAACTGAGTGTTTTTGCATGGTTGAATGTTTAGTGTCTTTACCTGTCCATCTATGATGCTGATCAGCGTATCAGCGCGTTATCTTCGAGATTGTGCTTAAATTATTGCAAGCAAAGTGCGTTCAAAATGGAAGAGTACTCCATGAACGTCAATCTACATCTGGAGAGTACCAAATGCATGGAAATCAAGTACACCACACGTACCTCAGTCGAAAGTATTTGTCTGGATTTGTGCGAGCGTTTGAAAATTGGGCCAGTGGCTCGACACTTGTTCTCATTGCGAATCAACCAAACTTCAATCTACCTGGCCAACTATTACACCTTGTTCAGTGATTCCTTCAAGAACGGGCGAGTGGGGCCCAGCTTGGACCTACGCATGAGATACAAACCGGCATCGATACAGGAGCTAAAGAAGTTGGACGCCCGTGCTTTTGAGTACTACTACTTACAAGTCAGAGATGATATAGTCAAGGGCCTGGTGCCCGGCTTGGCCTACGACGACTGCCAGCCAGAATTGACGGGATTATGCATTACAGACATGTTCAGATATATGCTGGAGAACAGCGTTCCCATGCAGGCTGTAGAGCGGGACCACAAAAAATTTATGAACAAGGAAATAGTGAAGAGGCACCGTTTTTACCTGAGCACGCCCATCCATGAGAATCTACTGAAATTGAACCGTAACATGAAGGATCAACCCAATAATATCAGGTTATTGTATACAACAATTTTATTACTTTATTATAATAGGATAAGCACTACACGGTGGAATATTCGTCGTGCTAAAATTCGATCTTTGGGCGCATGGCACTCACTTTGGTCGTACAAGTGAACAGCCAATTATAATGCATGTAACCGGCATCACCGCAAGTCACGTGACTTGCGTTGACAGTGTAACGTTGAAAATTGGTACCGCGATAATGTTGCGCATCTGTTTGTACGATGATACGATGGTACGAAAGTGTTTCTATTGGTTGGAGATCTGTTAATTCGTCCGTCGTCGTATGACGGAAGAAAATCTCAAATTTCTCCCTGATTCACGATGTTTTTATGTGTTTTTGTGTTATCCATGGTTCACTTTCTAAAAGGGCCATTTATTTATCTCTAGAATGATGTAACAAATGAGCGATCTTGCTTATTTTGCCTCCGAGATATGAGCAAAAACGGGACGGAAAACATGGAATTTTGGCATAATCTTGCACCTAAGTGTTTGATATTCAAATTTCGCTTT